GCTGATTTGTGATCAACACCCATACATATCATCACACCAAAGAATGCTTGCATTTCACTGAAATTTCTATTACACCAGCGGGCATTTAATTTTTTTGCAATGCATTTTTGATGATATTTGGCGTATTTATTAGTCTCGATGGAAAATATTCCACCTCACGAGCATAAGAAGGCAGTTCGAAAGTTGGTCCAGGTTCGTGTTCAAAAACTGGAATGGTAAATATATCGCTGTCTTCCTCCGTGGCCATTCTCCATTCACCAGTGCTGGAGGTAACATAATCGAATGTAGCACCAATTTCTGTGTCTGATTCAATTTCAATGTCGCTATCGAGTACAGGTGGGTAACGTTGCTCTGAAAAATCGTCATTCTCAGCACGATCTTCATCGATTTCTGAATCTGTATCGTCGTCATTTGCAGCTATGAAGTCATTAGGTATTTTGTGTCGTAGTTCACCTGTTTTTTCGTCCAATACAAGTTCATCATCACGCGTGTCCATTGGCGATGCATGTGCATACACAACACGTTTTTTTATAGTTTGTTTTTCGGGGAAACTTGCAAGTGTTGATTGTTCTGTATCGCATACATTTTCTTGTACCATTTCTTTGGTGACATCGACGTTTTGTTGCGTACTCGCTTGGTCGATATGTTCAGACCCCTGCTTTTCTATTTGCCAAGCTGGTCAAAATACGTTACTACCATTATAATCGTGAATCGTGTCGTTCAAAAACGATTGTAATGCTGCAGTTTGCAATGTGGTCAAGGCGTTTTTTTTTACGTCGTCGCAAACGTCGCGTTGTGACGGTAAAATAGTGAAATGAGCAGACAAGAGTATAGAATTACATTCTTTATTACTTGGTTAATTTATTTGACTTGACGGAATCGAAAACAAATTCTCTCCCTCCATAATTTCGCAAGTGTAAAATATCAGGTTCCGTACAACGTATTATAAACGCTTGACCGTCGAGCAACCTAAATAGCAGGCCGTTTTTCAACGACTTAACCAGTTAGCTAGCTGGAGTGGTAAATTCTAGCATACCCATATTGACGGCGGTTTTTCACCGACTTGACCGGAAAAGGGTTAAACAATCATCATAATCATATTCCTGACATGGTTATATTCCAGCTATATTTCTATAAACAAAACTATATATGCTATGCATGGCTTCTTTATTTTGTATTTTCAGATGTGGAATTTAATCTCGTCACCCAGGCATCCAAGTCTGAAACAGTTAATTGATTCACTGAGAATGTTCCTGTTGAAACAAGAAGCAGTGGCTAGAATAGCTATAGCAGGAACACCACTGGCTTTACCAAAAAGTATGTGTTAATAGTTACGAATAGATATTTTCTGTCTCCCATAATGTGTGAATCTGCCTCAAAAGTCAAACAATTCGATTTTGAACTTGAAATTCTTTATTTTTATAGTTCTATGTTGAAATGCTGATCTTTCAGAAAGAAATTTGGCATTGAGATCTCCTTCTTTAAAATTGACCCTCATATTCTGTGTATAGCACATTATTGAGAATGGGAAAAAAAAGTACGTTCATGTTTGTTGGATCCCATGTGATGTTTTCACATTATGATGATGCTATGACTTTTGTTTAGTATAACAAATTTTCTTTGGCTGCGCAATACTGGATACATATTGCAAGAAAATGGCAAAGATGGTACGATTCAGTGATTATATTGATGTCACATTGCAAAGGTCGCTGTATTCTGTACTGCCGAACAACATATTCAAACACTTGCGATAACCTTGGGGACGGCGTCAAAATATCGATGTCTGATAAAAAACTTATTTGCTTTAGTTTGGGGGTGGGGGGGTTTTGACCTCAAAAAGTTTCCATCCTACAAAAACGATTTTATTTTTTAATAAAGTCAAAACAATTTTGGAGTACCGTTATTTGTAGTTCGTTTTTTTTTATATCAATCATGGACAAAAAAACATCCAAGATGAGAAAATGGTTTGCTTTGAGTGTGCGTCAAATGAGGTCAATTTCAGGGCATGGACTACTATGCCATACTACTGTCCGATTATCAATTTGTATTTAATGATGAATGTAGTCTGACGCCATGATCAATATTTATCAATTAAGTTTCAGGGGGGGAACTAAAGGAATTAAGTTTTTTATCCTACATTGAACTTTTGATGTTGTCCCTTATATTATTGTACATTTTTATGACAGAACTTCACACCCTCCCCATGGCTTTCGTTGCATATGGAAATTATTTTCTCGAGTGATGTGGTGTATCCTGCGGCCATATACTTTCACAAGCGAAGTGAGTGAAAGTACAGCCGGATACGTCGCATCACCTCCTGCATATACAGTGTTCTCCCCAGGCCAAAACAGCGTCGCGGGCCCCGACGTGATCGGATTTGCCCGCGACGCTATGTGTTTCCCCCGCGATGCTATTATTTATCCCGTGATCTGATTTCTTCAGTCTCTCACAGACTGTAAAGTTTCCTGGCTAACTAGTTAAATCTACAAATGCATTGTATTAACGCCAATTTCCCGGGATAATCCCCTGTTGTTTCTCATTGGTTGGATATCGTTTTAAAAAAACAAAGCAGTTCTATAAAGACAAAGCCGTAAGCCCCGGTGTCAAACGCTCTTTGGCAGACGTATATTCATATGCAAATGATATAGTCACACTTGGCGTCAAAAGCCACATGTTTCCGGTGTGTACGAAACGTATTTTCATTATTATTTTTAGAAATGTAGTCGTACTATTATTCTAAGTTTTGATTTTTGTCAGTATTTTTGATATTGTATTTGTTTTT